AAACAGCAGCTTGGTTTAACATAGTCAACGTATGTGATGTGTCTGCTGTAATTGGTGCACCAATTAACACCTAATAATCGTGTACCCTAAGACTGTTGAACATGACTTGTTACATTTGACTGCTCCCATAACCAGCTGCAGCATGTTACCACACACAGGTGGATTTGTATCTTATTCAGCAGTTAATGCAGCCATGTAAAACACGCAGAATGCAATGCAAAGGCATAATGCAAACGCATCCTATTACTGCCTTTTTGATGAGCATACCGAATCCGAAACAAGACCTGCCGAGTTCGTTGAGCTTACAGCGTTATGAAAGCCGATACTCATGTTGATCCCATTTCTCTACGGTGGAGCCACCGGGGAGCGGCGGTTCATGGAGCCTACGGGATGTCAGACACAATATTTTTCTGCAGTCTGGCACTGAAAATCGGGCTTTGCCCCGCCCAAAATGTGATCTTCATACCACTCCTGCATGTTTCAACAGCAATAGCTATCTGGTGGCCGACACGGGATTGTCAAGCAATCAATATGTCTCATCATTACGATTTTGGAGAGCAAGTGCGTGTTAAAACCGACAAATAGATTGTTCTGCGTCAGGAGTATGAGATTTGGGGGTTCAGTAGTGAAAAACCATGAGGCAGGTTCTATTGGTTCTACCGCTAGTGGTTTTTCCCCCTTGTTTTGCCTAGGCTGAGACATAACCAGCAGGTAAAAACTGTCCCAGCTGGTGGCTGTAAGTGTCTATGTTCTCCAGGTTCACCCCTGGTCACAATTTAGATCATGTCACAGGGATGATAAGAATCACTTTTATCATCTGCTTCATGTAAATGAAATCCCTATCTTGTGCACCTTTCTCGCAACTTACTTCTGACATCTTGCATTTTTCGTCAGGCAGCCCTTCTTCTCAAACAAGATTTTAATGCTCAGCGCAACATGCTAATACTAACTATGCTTAACATCCTGTTTATTTTGATATTTTGCTCTCCCAGTTTTGCACCATTGGCTCTCAGCATGTTGTGCAGTACTTAAGTTTCTGCTAATTTCTGCCAGTTTTGACATCAGTAGCATCTGTCAGACAGTCTTGGGCGGTAAAAGCCGGCAGACGAAATCTCCGGCGGCGCCACAAATTTTGACTAGGGGAAGCAGGATTTTCCAGGGGCTTGCTGTACAAAATAGGGGCCCCTAACATGGCAAGGTCTGCCATATTTAAAGGGAATGGCATCGAGGGCATGTGCCCAATATTAAGTTGTCACACAAATCGCATCCAAGTAAATAAATGTGACAATCAAAAATAGAGCATCCTCTTAATTATTTAGCAAAGTATCTCGTTCACTTCAAACGGGGCCCCTTTTGCAGGAAATGATCTGTTGATGCGCAGAGGGGCTTCCTTTCCAGAACAGGATTCTTCCTATTTACGGAGGGGCTCCCAAATCAAGGGGCCTCGTTCTCCCAAAATAGGGTGCCTTGGTCCGGGAACATAGCCATCTGACGCATGAAAGAAACCTCCTGTTCTAGAAAAGGGGCCTCCAAAATATAGAGGGTGCCTCCGTACCCAGAGCAGGAGTCTCCTAGCTCGTTACAGTGCATCTAAAGCCAGCAAATGGACGCCAGTAACAAAACATTGGGCATACTTATCTAGAGCATGGGCTACCCTATTCATGAAAGTAGCCCCATGATCCAGAAAACGGGTCTCTTAATAAAGAAGAAAAAATCTGAGAACGAATCGTTACTCTCTAGCTTAGTTAGGAGGGTCTCCTTTGTCTAGATTTTGGAAATCTAGGGATAGGTATAATGCCTTTAGTTAAGGAAAGAGAGGCTTCCCAAAAATTATGAGCGGGAAAAACATACGCGCGCCCTCCCCCCCCCCCCCCCCTCCTTCTTACTGCGCTGCCTCTACCGCCAACGCCGTCTTTTTGTCTCCGCCACTCCCCCTCGTAGAAGAAGTGCTAATGCATCCTTGAATCTATAGCAGTCTACGCACGTCGGCTGGAAGCAATACATGAATTCAAAAATGTCCTGGCCATATCATGTTTAGAAGGCAGAGACATTGCGCGTCTTTAACGCAATTTTCACATCTATGTCTCCGCAATATGATAAGCATATACGTCTTCGAGTAGATCACATGTTACAACTGAGCACATGCGTAACGTGTGCAATCTATTTAAGTTTCTCGCCATTAGCAGTCAATAATCGAGATGCTATAATGCTATATCAGTTCACTACAGCCCAGGTAGTTATCGCTGAATTGGAGCAGTTATTCCCGATGTGAGCAACTCAACTTCAGAGTAATCGGCAGAGGAAGAAAATACGCGTAGTTGCCTTTCCTTTTCTGTGTTGTTTCTGAGTTGTCTTCGCAGACCGTATCGTTGCCTAATTCTGCTCTTTTCAGTTTCTCCTCCGCATCCAACATTAATACCACTAATGTTTTAGCGAAACAGGCTGCGAAACTCATTCGGTGTCCTTCTGTGTAAGCTTGCTACGATATCAAAACCCGTTGGACATGCCGTTCGTCTAAAGCGCACACTGTATATCCGATATGCATACGTACATTTAACTTTGGCCGCCATCCATTCGAAGTTTTCACCTTGGGCGGTAACGCATCAACCCATCGCTTCTTTTACACTCGAAGCACTCCTAGAAGTCCCGTTCTGTAAGCGCATCAAGCACTTTCTGCATCTGCACTCAGTCTCCTCCACGGAACCCTTAAGCTTCAACTGTTATCTTGGGAAAGGACAAGTCGAAGAGGGCCGAATTTGGTGGAGAGGTCGAGTAGGAAGAAAGGAAAGTGTTGGTGCCGCTAAAAAGTTCGCGCGCTTTTAACAACGGTGAGGGGGCGCGTTGTTGTGTTCGTGCCTCCAATTGTCGTCGCGCACAATATAGTAGAACTCTACCGCTCTGTGGCGTCTGTATCTATCGTTCCAGTGGCAGTGTCAGGCTGTCAAAGTCGAGTTCTACTACGTACAGAACGGTAGAGTTTTGCGCTGCTTCACACAGACCTCAGCTGACCTCGGGATTAACAGTCTGACACCGAAAGACATCCCATTAAACCATCCTGCAAATGTAAAAGCAAACATGCTCTTGTTGGCGCTCTGGACCTGTTTTCCTGAGGCGAACACTGTCAGGGCCTCAACTATGGCAAAGTGGCCGCTCACAGTGGGTGGAGAACGCACGAGCTTTTGCGCGGCGCCAAAGCCATCGTCGCTGCTAACTTGCCCGCCGCGTCACCAGACCTGGCTCCCCACGCTGTCTTCCCGCTCCCGAGTGCAAGGGAGATCCAGTGTGGTTCTCAGATGGTGTTTGACACACTTAAAGAGTGTGACTTCCAGAGAGCGCTCTGAGCATGGCAGAAGTGCTGGGAACAGTGCAGAGCTCTGAGCATGACAGAGATGCTGGGAGCGGTGGGGCGCTCTGAGCACGGCAGAGGTACTGGGAGCGGTGGAGCGCTCTGAGCACGGCAGAGGTGCTGGGAACGGTGCGGCGCTCTGAGCACGGCAGAGGTGCTGGGAACGGTGCGGCGCTCTGAAGCACGGCAGAGGTGCTGGGAACGGTGGGGGCGCGCTGAGCACGGCAGAGGTGCTGGGAACGGTGGGGGCGCTGGACACAGTGAATGCTTCGTAGGGATGGCGGCCCAGGTGAAACTATGTACGTGCTCTGCTTTTCATAGGCGTGGCCTCGGAAATTTTGATGACGTTCAGTATACATATGTATGATATGTATTGCGTCATGTTGTGCGTGAATCAGTCAACAATAGAATCTGGCTTTGGCCGAAATGTTATTTTTAGGCGTTTCTTTCGTGGCACGGTAGTCTACCTCAGGTTTAAAGATGTGGACAACGGTGAAAGCTTCTGAACAATGCTTTTGAACTATGCACATTATTCTTAGACATTAGCAAATAATACTTAAGTTTCGCACACTGTTGAGAAAAATATAAAACATTGACCAGCCGTTACAAAGTTGCAGTAAAATAAAACACCGAATTTACGTTTACGAGTACGAATACCCTATTTACGTTTGGTGGCCAGACTGTTGCAATGCGATCGACATTTTGTACCTTGGACCGTGAATCCGTTCCAAAGAACTTTCACACTCTCCATTTAACAAATTATTCAAAACAAAGAAGCTAAGGTCTTAAGCTAATTATACTCGCTATCGAATCATAATGAAAACCTTACTGTTGTTCTCAATTTATGGTTCTAGCTTGGGTATACGCAGCTAAAGCGAATTGGCATACAATGTGTGATAAGTATTGACGAATGTGCTTCCTTGAATGCCTGTTATTTCTAGCATGTACTTTTATTGTACATGCTACAAGGTGAGGAGGCAGGCAAACTTAAGTCAACAAGTTTGGTGATAATTTTACCTGAGAAGAGCGAAAGCAGCCTTACGAGAAGAACTGCAACAATAAATACACCGTACAAAACACAAACTACACCTTTAAATCTAAGGGCTGTCCACAGGAGCTCAAGGACAATGGGTTTTAGAAGCATCTTCTGAGGAGAAGAGGGCTTACAAGATTTGGGCCGTTTTCAGCTCGCAATGTAAATTTGTCATGAACGTCCAATACTCAAAGATGCGCGGACAGGTCATGTAATTTCAGCCTGATTGTACATCTGAATCAAATAACGTCCTTTTTAATGGTGATTTTTGAGGTCGTTGCCGTGTGGCTTAGATTTAGCAACACAGCTTATGCAAAGCTCACGCGACAAGCACGCGTCAAACTTTGGTAAACCGCAGGTAGGGATGAAATTATGCAGACTTACGTGAAGTATGAAAGCATAGGCGCGTATTTGTGAAAACTGTGGTGACAAACATTTAAAATCTCTCCTTCGTCATCTGACTCCCAGGTGCGCAGAGGTCGGCAACAACGGCAACCAGCAGCGGACCAGGGCCATTGAACACCAAATGGCGAAAACAGAGCGGTCTGACGATTACGGGAATATAACCTCATGTAACCTTGAAGCGACGCAGTCAAAGGACCGCGAAATTCGGCACCCCAC